GGACTTGGCCGGTTCATTAGCACTCCAGGAAGCCACTCGTAATGTCTTGATGTCTGAACGCAAGTCTCGCAAGCGGCCTTCGTCAAAGGCCCAGCAACTTTCGTCCTGGCAAGCCCACGGTGACAACACCGTCATACCCACCTTGACTCTGTCGGGAGAGCGTGATGTCCTCTTCAGAAGCCCAGATGACTACTTTGATCGCTTCGCCTCACCAATCCATTTCTTCCGTTCCCCCCATGCCCAGTTGATCTATCCACAGCCAGACCACATCTTTGCGTCGCAGCAACCCGACGAGATTCTAGACATGGAGGCTCAGATGGCCCTCAACCACTATGCCACCTTTGACGAGAATGCTAAACCCCCACAGCCGCTGCCGTACCTGAGCCGGTGTCGTGCATACGCCCGCAACTATCCCCAAGCTGGCACACGCCTAACCCTCCCAGTCTGGAACATTACCACTGGTTTGCAAAGTCCACTGTCCGATAGCTCGCTTGAGCTCGCAAAAATGGTGCGTAGAAGTATCGCCCGTCAGACGATGAAAACGCATACAGGGCGATCGCGGTGGTTCGACGCAGCCGAGAAGAAGCACTACGAAGAGTATGCCCATGGCCGCGTCCAGGTAAACTCGCACTGGGGGATTGGGCTGTGGAGTCAGCAGGATGAGAATCCAGCGTGGAAATCACGCGTCGAGGACGTGGGAGCTTGGATGAAGCAGCGGCTGGACCCAGGCTTTACATGATGATGGATGGTGACAACGCATCCCATGTGTTTTTTTTGCTTGAATAACAGTGGTGTTTGTTGAGCCTAAAATTCTAGTTTAATCATACAATCCACCATGTTCATCATCAAATTATAGGAATGGGGGGGGGGGGGGGGGGGGCTGACAACGCATGTTAATCTCGTATTGTGTAATTTCTTTGCCCCTTGACGCTTACCATTACACAATCAAAAAATTCCTACAAGTCAAGTGGAGAAATCCTCTCAAGTCGGAATCCAGAGTAGTACTCAATCCATTACGTCGTTTCCACGTCTGAGCCACTCTGCCCTTCTTTTCTTTTTCTTCCCCTCCATTTACCCACTGCCCAACCTTGCGAACCAATTTCTGTCTCTCAGCTATTCGCTTTGCGGATTTCCGCAGCATACAACGATGCAACCTTACACACATGCAAGATACGCACTCGGATAGACGAAACGGATGAAGCTACAACGTATCTTCGACACCCTCCATCTTCTCCTCAGAAGGCATGCCAGCACCACCACCAGCACCACCACCACTGCCGCCGTACTTGTTCTGAAGATCCTGAAGAATCTTTTGACCCTGAAGTAAGGCTTTGCGCTGCCCCAGCAGGTCCATGCGCTGCTTGTAACGGTCCGTCGGTTCAGCAAGGAGGTGAATCGCATTTTGATAGCCTACGTACACAAAGTTAGCGTTGCGTACTAAATGGTGAGTCCATAACCCATTTTCTTTACCTTCAGCGTCATTGCGTATCCCCAGGCCATTCTCCAGGTCATCACGAAGCTGCGTACACAGCTCCCTATGGAACTTGGACTCGATGCGCATACAGACAGCGTCATGGAAGCGGCGAGCGGCGAGCATGTAGTACGTCGTAACCTGTGCGACAACGTCAATCTCGCGAGCATAAGGCTCGTGCGCTAGAATAGGCATCGAATTCTTCTTGACTCGCTCTTCTTCAGCGGGAGTGAGCAGCTTCTTCGTATGTTGCTCCTTCTTCCGCTTGTACAGAGCAAGTCGATTCTGGAGACGGTGCTGCTGGTAATACTCGAGCATTGCGCTCTTCTCGCGCTCAAAGAGATCCTCATGGAAAATGTATGGGCCCTGCTTTTCGTCGTTGAGGCTGTCGCGTACCATGTCGTGGCTGGGCAGAATCAGTTTCTGGAGGATATTCCACGCCTTGTCATAAAACATGGATCCCTTGCGACTCTCAAAGTGCTTCTTGAACAATTCTTGCATCTGGTTGTGAACTTGCTCCCGGAGATTGCTCAAGAAATGGTCTAGTGGCTCCTCCCAACGTTGAATCGCTGTCAGCATCATAGTATCAACAACGCGCGGCTCAATCTGGCCCGGGACCTTAGACTGCGAATTCTCTGCCAAATATTCCCGAACTGCATCAAGTTCGAATGTGATCTTTAGATTGTTGAAATCTGGACCCTCCTGACGGCTCGGTGTTTTGTCAATCTTTCGCTTCTTCTTTGGAGACTTGTTGGACACATCGCTATCCTCAGCGGAGTTCCTATCACCGTTTTCGTTTTCATCGTCAGATAGCGAAATTGGCACTTTCGCAGAGGCACCAGGGAGCGCTGCCTGTACGTCAAGATACACAGATTCGTCGTCAGCGCCACGAAGCTTCATAGCTGGCTTCATACTTTCTAAGTTACTAAAGAAAGTCTTCTGGAGAGCCTTCCACTTGTTCCTCCATTCCTTATAAGGAAACTCAGCTTCAATCTCTCTGCGCACTTCTTGAGAGAAGTCAAGAATAATATCTGACATAATCCGAATAGCATTATGGGTAGCTGGTTCAGGAAACTGCTTAAGATCTTGCTCTATACGAGAGAGGCGTTCAAAGATGTGCTGGTCAATAGTTGGTAGTCGCTTGAGCATTTGCTCTGCAAGCGTTTTGGAAAGAAATGCTTGGAGATTCGTTGTGCCAAAGGAATTTGTGTACGCCTTGAACGTACTGGACCAGGTTGTGTCTTCGCGAAAGAAATGCTCCTCTCGGGTACGGGCTTCTCCATGGCTGATGCCCTGGTTGATCTCATTTTGGCCAGGATTCTTGACGACAAAATACCCATAGCCTAGAGCGAATCTCTTCTGGTCAAAAACTTCTTTCAGCTTACCGTGACGCGATCCTGCCGGCAACCGATCGGGTTTAGTAAGAACACCAATGCATCTATCAACTGCTTTCAAATCCCTTGCAATACCACCAGCACTTGAGTTGGCAATATCAGTCTCTAGGGAGCAGCATAGGAGGATGAGAGATTCGGGGTCGCGAACGTATTCTGTAACCAGATCACGTACAAACTTGACGAGAAATTTCTTATCCTCAGTTTCTGCTTGTCCAATAATGCCAGGCAAATCGTAGAAGCTGAGTGATGACAGTCCTGGTTGACTGATTGAGATGCAGACAATATTTGGGCTGAACTCACACCTATGATCCTCTCCAAGGTTGAGAGATGGATTCAGAAACTCTTCGTAGTGGACCAGAGGAGTGATGGTTGCGAGTTGCGCGCGACCAATGATATGCTCCAGCTCTTCTGGGTTATCCGTAGTTGCGAACGGTACGAGAACTGGCTGCGACAGCTCGCACCAACCACGAAACCGTCTCTCACTTCCTCGGCCAGTCCTGCCATCATAGCTGAAGCTGCGGCGAAGGCTCACGCTTGCGCTCCAACTAGCGCGGGGATCTTCCGTGGGCTCTAGCTTGATATACAAAGGGCATCGAGTGCATGTGTCGTCAGACCTAGGAGTCTTGATGCCCGATATCGCCTCAATGACGGATGACTTTCCTGCGGACTGCTCACCTTTGGTCAAATGTCAGTGAAATCATATGCGCTGATTCGTCAGGTAACGTTACCCAAAACAACGCATTTTGGCAAGGGAATGTCCATTCGCTGTAAACCAAGACTTTCGAGTCGGTTGATTGTCGAAATAACTTCCTTCATGTGCATTCCCAGCAGGTCTACCATGGGTGTCTCGGAAGAACTCGTTTGGTGACCACCTTCTCGAATTGGCAGATCGGTTGGCTGAAGATCCTCGCTGGATAGAGGACCGCCATCTTGCCTCCCACTCTGTGTACCGGCCGCCATAGTGACAAAGATTCAGAGTGATGAGCAGATGGCAAAGGTAGTGAGAAGGAAAGTAAGTGGGTTCAGTTAGACTGATAAGAGTGCGAAAGTTTGTGCCAAGACCCTGCGTTTGTTAGGCAGCTCAAGTTGACGCAAAGTTTGGGCGCGCAAAGAAAAGTGAAAGTGAACAGTGAAACAAGACAGCATGGTATAGGGACATGGCAATCCGGCGAGAGATTGCTCTAACCATTGCGTAGGCGACGCCCAAACAGGCCATGTCAATCTCCATCCCATACTGAATGCAGGCATGATTCTATTATATGAATGGTATCCAAGACTGATGATAAGTGGTGCTCAGAAACTGAGGATAAAAGGAATAATGGAAGGTTGGCATAAGACGTTGTAAGTAAAGGGCAGTCCCGAGGTTTCGCCGCTAGCGCCAATCCAGCCAGGGTCCTCGAGAGAAAAACGTCGAAGCACATCATCATCAGTGGCTACCATCCTACCTCAAGTCGCCAGCACTTTTCCTACATCCGCCTCTCTGCCCCGCCACCACTCTTGCCGCAGTAATAATATACAATGGATCATTCGCGCGATCCTTGTCCGTGGGTCATTCTCAATGACTTTGGCGGTGCTTTCGCCATGGGTGTATGTCGTGCCAGACGCAGCATGTACGGCGCATATACTAACCGGATATCAGGCTGTCGGAGGAGCAGTATGGCATGGCGTTAAAGGCGTAGGTATCACCATTGGTCTTAAAATGCCGTGCTGACCAAGGGTCCAGTTCCGCAATTCACCCTACGGCGAGCGACGCATAGGCGCCATCACAGCGATCAAGGCACGCGCACCAGTCCTCGGCGGCAATTTTGGTGTCTGGGGAGGTCTCTTCAACACATATGACTGCGCCGTCAAGGGAATCCGGAAGAAGGAGGACCCATGGAATGCCATCATCGCTGGTTTCTTCACGGGTGGGTCGCTTGCGGTGCGAGGAGGCTACAAATCGATGCGTAACGGCGCGATATCGTGTGCCATTCTGTTAGCAGTCATTGAGGGCGTCTCAATTGGTTTCAACCGTATGATGGCCGACAACACAAGGCTTGACGCTCCCCCACCACCACCAAGCGACGCTGGAGCATCACCTGGCAGCGGCGGCATGGCTGTAGCTGCGTAGGGGTGCCATTTTATGATTACATTTTTTGAAGCGCGGCTTGATTCGCTGGAAAAAAGGAGGCAGTATGACGGGCGGGCGGGCGGTGTTCTTGGGATTTTTTGGCATATACCGCAGTCAGGTTCGGCGGCGGGCGGCGTTCACACTCTCCTCAGCTTTGTGCTATATATCTGTATCATACACGCGACACGATTGTACAACATCTGGAGGTGTCTCTATGGAAACATGAAGTGTTCAGGAATTCAGAAGACAACGAATGTTTCTTCTCGGCATGCCAGACTATGAATGGGCCATTCAGTACCGAACTTAGCGTATCAGACTTGAGTGCTAAGCGCGGCCCGATAATTCCGATGACATCATTGGTCCGCTGTCACATAGCTCCAGGTATGGGAAGCCATAGCGAACATTGCACGTATTAGTATTCTATTCCTTCAGTATCTCATGTCGTTCAAGCTGGGGGCGCTGCACAAGGATGCTGCTGGACTTGTTTGGCTAGCCGTTTCTAGATGCTAGCGTCTGCGAGTCAGCCACGCACCTACCGCCTTTCACCTCTACTATTTCAAGTGGGCGCCCCGAGTCTTGTCGTCTGCATCATCACCATGCTATCTATATGCAGAATAATATTTCCCCACGAACTCTTCAGACTGCCTAACATTAAAAATTCGTCTACAACACATCGGCTCAATCAGCAACACGTATCAAGTTTGCCGCCTCATTGGTGTGACCATGGCACCATCTAAACCATCTAAACCATCAAGTTCTGTCACCTACAATATCCGATCCATCACCAAAAACTGGAAAATTCATCGTGTCCACGAATGTTTGCCTAGAGCACTATGGCCCAACAAGCAGTTCGAGGCGACACAATGGGATATTGGAATTCTTACGCTCCTAAGTCAGATATCTGCTATACCGAATGCCACTATCCAGGACTTTCGAGCAAAGGCCAGGCGTGCAATCAAAGCACGACAAGAGCGAAATGGGACAGCAGCTGGAAAGGTGGGGTGGGTCAAAGTAACAGATCTCAAGGCTGTTCTGAAAGAGTATGAAAAAGAGATTGCAGAAGCAGACGCGGCGAAAATCGCTCAAGAAGAAGCCGAGCCAATAAGTAGTGTTCAAACAGAAGTTGTAGAATTGCCCAAAACACCTGTGGCACCTGTTGTAGACTCGGAAGAAGAAGACGAAGAACAAGGCTCTTCTGAACCTCTTCCAGGCGGAAAATACCAGTATCTCACTCATGTCCGCCCCCTGAAAGTCGACTTGAATCCTACGGCATCTCCGCCAAAGAAGCTAGTCCAAGCAAAAGCTACTCGAGGCAAGAAGCGGCAAGTGGAAGAAGAAGCTACGCTCGATCCCTCCACCATGGAGAGACCAAGCGTGGTGCAGCAAGATCCCGATCCCCGGGCACCGGATGACACCGGTTTTCTCTCCGACTTGGAGCCTGAGAAGACGAAACAAAAAGAGCGGAAGAAAAAGAGGCTCTCTCGGCTTGAGCAATTTCCTGTCCGTGTACCGCACTGGCAGCGCAATTTAGATGATGTTGCGGCCGGTCCTTTGCTGTTATCGAATGGTACTGGAGCAGCCAGTGGAACTGTACCTGCGGGTATACTTGTAAACGGGAAAAATGAGGATGAAGATCTCGAGATGAATCTGGATAATCTGCCTAGCATACCGATTAATGCGACAGTCAAAGAGAGAAAGGAGATGGAGGAGTTAAGGCTTCGGATGGAACAGCGCATATGGAGGATCAAGGTGCTTCGAATAAAGGAAAGGCAAGGGCGCAGTAACGAAATTGTTGGACGGAGTGAAATTGTAGACGGTGATGTCAGCCAAGGAGAAGAAGGGGATGCAGAAGATGAAAATGATGATTCAGACGAACGTGACGAGACTGAACATGATGAAAATGACACTCCTGGTGAAGGTAGAGTGTTGCGAAGTAGAAAAGCAAAGTAGAAGTATAATTCACCGATGCTAAAAACACCAGTGTTACGGCCCTTGTCCATATCAGTGACGCATGTCTCACCAACTTCAAATTCCATTCACGATGTCACCGAAATTGAGAATTTGATCTGCCAAGGTGCATTGTAATAGGTGAAGTATGCCAGTGACAAGCAAAGAACACATGATGTATCACCTTTGGCTTGCTCCATCAACGCTCTACAAGCAAACAATTCACCTGTTGATATTCACATGATCTATTGACCAGTTTACAATGCTCCCGTACTTTCACATTTTACTCGCTGTTAGCTCACAAAACTGTAGCACATGTGTTCATTCACCACAAACATTGTCTCACAGCATTATTCAACGAAAGAATATATCATGACTGTTATTATAATTGCTTCCATACTCTTCCCTGAGAAAACTCCCATTCAAGCCACGAGAATTAGCAATTGTATAATAGACGCATCAACGACACCAAACTGACCAACACTTAGAACATAAGCCCGATATAAGATAAAACTAGCTATCATGGGTATATCACTGAAGATCAAGATACCAATTGGCTCTAGGAGACGCCCCAGTAAGACATCCGCCGGGCAGAACCCTCTAGGCGAAGGTAGCAGTCGCAAGCAGGCACATGACCATCGCAGTGGAAGTCCCCCTCTTCCCTGCCGTCACCAAAACCCTGAACCCAGGCCCAAGCCATATATCATGCAACCCAGAAGGCCCAGCTACAACACTGTGATCGTAAGGCCTTCCACTGCCCCTCAAAAACCTCGCATAACAACCCACGCCGTCACCACCACAACCCCCTCGTCCCACCGCCACCGCCGCCCCTCCAAAACCCCAACAACCCCCCGATCCCCCGTAAGCCCCCTCGAAACCTCCCGTTTCGAATTCCCCTCCCCCTACTCGCGTCCTCAACCTGCCGTCCAGCGCGACGAATACGGATTCAGCATCCGTACGCCGTCGACGCCGGCGGGACAGGCGAATACGTACGGGATGAGTGCTTTGGCGCCGGTGAATTCGGATGAGTGGAGTTATTTTGAGCCGCAGGTGGGGAGTACGTGGAAGGGGGGTGAAGAGGAGAAGAGTAAAGGGAGGGAGGGGGTATTATAGTTATGGGGGTGGGAGGAGTGGGCAGCCGAGGGGAAAGGGGAGGAATGTTAGGTTTGCTCAGGGGATGAGGATAGAGGGTAAGTTTGTGGGTGTTTTGTTACGTTGGTTGTTATTTGTAAGGTCTATTTTTTTTTAGCTTTAGTTTATAGAAGAGGGAAATGGATGCAGTGTTGATGAGATCTTAGTCTTCTTTGTGACTCGTCTTTCTATAGTTCTACGTGATGTTTTGTGGACGCTATGTTCTTCAAGCCAAAATCACTCTGCACAGAAAATGCAACATGGAAAGAAAATACATCCTGTCCTCTCCGCTCCAAATGCAAACAAGTCTATGCACGCTACTGTGTCAAGCTCCTCACCAGTCTCCTACTCTTTGCAAACCTTCCTTCTTCCTTGCTCTCCGTCGCTTCCCTCGTAATAGTAGTACCTTCAGTAACAAAGTCCCTATATCTCTCCTGTTCGTCATCGGTGATAAGGTCATTAGGCAGATTGATGGCACGATCCAGCGCGTATGGCAGTCCCCTGTGTCGTCCACGTATCATCATGGCGCAGATGACTAATTTGCTAAAGAGAGTGAACTGGCCAGATAGTGAACACAGGTTGGTAGGGTAGCCAAGGGAAAGCCCGACGTTTCCGTATGCGGAGACAACTTCGAAAAAGACGGTGAAAACGGTGAAAGCCTGTTCATATATATATGCGATTAGCATGTCTTCTTTCTTCGTGTAGTAGAAGAGCAGCAAAAGAAAAAGATATACCTACCCAATCCTGCTTGCTCATAATTCTGTCGCTTTCAGCAATACAAATACAGAATACACCCAGGAATATATACCACAAGTCGAAACTCAACTGGTTTCGCATGTGATTGATCAGATACGTCTTGCTATCATTATTGTCGTCGAGGCTCTCCTCCTCTGCATAGAGCCCCACAGGACTCTCCTCGTAACTCTCGCTCATACGGATACTGATAGCGATTGGGTAGACGGAAATGTACATCATGACGAGCAAGCTGAACTGGACAGCAGGATTTACGTTGGCAAGGTTGAATGATGCGGTACCCGTGTGACGCGATGATGCGGACTGGAAGAGAGCTGCTAGGATGCGGTGGCCAACAGGGAGGACATTGACTTCAGGATTGTCAAGGTCGAGAACGATAATGAGCAGGGTATCGATGAAGTTCAGGGCGAAGACGATGCCGGCGAGGATCCATGTTGCGGTGCTGGGAAACAGGAGTGTATAGCATCGACGGGGGTGGTCCAGCAGGAAACGCAGAGACTCGCTGTATGACGATTCAGCTGGAGCGATCTTCCACAGGATCCAAATGAGGAGTCGCAAAAGGCATGGGTATAGTGTGTTGCCGGCGAGGGCTAAAAAGGACATGACAAGCATAGGCCAGGCTGCGTCGCGAAAAGAAATCATGCTATCTGGGGTAAGGGTGAGACCTGTGTTGTCTACCATGCTTTGTGCCGAATATATACCCCTGGAGGCCGCTCTTAGACAATATTTCACGGTCAGATTATATCGAATACTTACCACCACGTTATATCTTGGCCCTGGGACACGACGTAGTCTTTGTATTTAGAGGGAGCAAGATGAATCCATGGTATCAAGCACACAGCTCCGAATAGATGCAACCCAAAGAAATATCCTAACATTGTCAGTACGTATTCCGCCGAGGTGTTGCGTTACAAGACCTACCACTGACAATCTTGAGGAGGACTTGCAAAGCACGGTATTCGACGCCACCCAATTCTTCTCGGCTGAGCGATCTCAAATCGATGGATTGCGGTCTTCCCGTATCTCCACTGCGACGAGCACCTGCTGTGCTTCCGAGAACGAAAATTGATGATACGGCGCGGTCTACCGAAGTCGCTTTGCTCATACTCCTTGTCTCAGAGATTCTGCGGCGTAGAGGGTTGATAGATTCTGCAATGGGCTTGATTTGGTCATCTTCTTCATCTGTTATGCTGATGTTAGGTAGATTCTAGTTCAAAGACCACTAGAGACGCTTACCATCCGATGTAGGAGATATAGGTTGACCTGTCTTCTCGTCAGCAACACAGCGGAGGCGATGATATGCGTTCTAGGTACCATTGTCGTCTTCGCGAGGCCCGGCTACACGTAGTGCACCCTTCTCGTTCACAGTATGGCGGGGGTCGGGAGCGAATGTAATTCGAGCAGTGTTTGGAGCTTCATCTTTTTCCTGCTCACTAGTGAGGCCTTTCTCAGGGTCTCTCGCTTCGGCGGCATTGGCAATGATCTGTATCCGCGGGTCGACTGCGTTGCCAGAACTTCTGGGTCTTACTTTTGCTGCAGCTGTACACGTATTAAACCTAGAATTAAGAAGTGTCGCGGGGTTCTGACTTACGGATATCTTTGAGTTTCTGGTGAAACCACCGTAGTCTCACAACAACTACGATGATATTGATAAAGCCCAGATTTGTTATGATGGGTGTGAAGTAGTACCAGACCTGTTGGTACGTCTTGAGAGCTTTGACATCGACACTAAAACTCATCAGCATCTGACGATTCGTCAAGGCGCACTTGTCTATGTAAGATGGAACGTACGGGTTCAATCCAGTGGAAGTCGAAGCGCTAACTCCAAAGAAGTATGAGTCTATAGCTCTAAGGTTCCCGTAGGGATAGACAACAACCAGGGATGAGATTCCGACAATGAGAATGTACGCATCTGCATCATGTCAGAAAACGGCAATCTCGGATCCCTTGAGCTGGGAATTTCGGCACGTTGGCTCCCTGTAGGCAAACTTACAGTGTAGTGTAATGAAATTGATTGGCGGCTTCCACATCGTAGATGATACGCCTTGCAGTTAGGCGTTGCAGTATATTGCGCAGGAGTTGAGGGAATTTCGGCACACTACCGCAGTAGTGCGTACCCGTAGCAACAGCGATACTAGGTTCTAGGATTTACCGATGGGTTTTATAGGTTTCGTGCTACCCAGCCAGTTCAGTAGGACTTTCAGTTCAAAACGAAACAAACAAATCAGAAGGTCTACCGTAGACGTTGAAAAAAGAGGAAAGGCAAAAGAGCACAAGCAAGTGGGTAGAACTCTAGGGTAGTCTGCCAGGCTGGGAAATTGCCCAGACAGTACCAAAAAGTTCGGGGGTGCTTGTGTATGAGGGATTTGTTCGAACTGATCAGCAAACATCAGACTAGTAGCCTTCTCTTCATACTCCGCCACAGCCGCGCGAGCGGGTCTTTGCTTGTCTGCAACAGCCTTCCCACTCGCACATGAGTGCCAACCGCCAAGAATAAAGAGTGAGAAATAATTCGCGCATCGGAGCTGGTGGTGACGCTGGCAACAGCTCGATCATCCATGCTCACAAGCCGTGAGCCTTTAGGCGCGGACCAGGGCACGCCCTCCTACCGACTCACGCAATTAAAATTAATGATTGGGTGGCAGCAAGATTGAGGTTCCGCGCGCGGGGAGGTCATGCATATTCACACGGTGACATTGTGGGGTTGGCTGTACCGTAGCTACGGTCCCGTGTAGTCTGCATAGTGGTTTGAGATGGCAGAGATCGCGGTACCTTCGTTCCATACAGTGCGAATTTGGCACATTGCCATCGGCGTGCGCATTGTTGATGTTTGAATGCCAACATGCTAAGAGCCATGCCAGTCTAATCGCAAAACACCCCAGAGGAAGGCCAAGTGCAGCGGTTCCTTTGTCACCAGAAGAGCTCAACGGGAAGAGGGGACCCTTGCTTATTCGAATTCGTCGAGGTGCGGCGCCAAGAGTGTGATGCAGCGCCTCCTAATCTTTTCCTTCTGCTCGCCTCGTACTCGCGTACCTTCGGAGCATCATAAGATGGGAGAAGCGCTGTGGACGTATTTGCCGAAAGCGGTGTCGTCGAGCTAACAGGACAAACAGGTATCGGGGATGGCCGTGGTGGGCGGAAATTCGCGCATCTGCTTACACTGCCTCCCCCACCAAGTTGGTTACATATAACATAGTAGCTACGTAAGAGCCGCAGGTGTCTCCGGCGGTGTGGGACCAATTCTGGCTTCTTACCTTGTCACATCGTCATTGAGCCAGCTGGTTATATACGCCATAAAGAACATTTGTTTTGCTGAAGAGATACCAGGCCGCAAACGCTTTCCACCAAGGGTGAGCTGATGAGATCTGGGTCGAGGTTGGAATATTTTGTGATTTCCCATGTATTTAGGTATTAAGTGTTAATGCAGGTCAGCGCACCTAGAATGACTGTAGCCCGCTATTACGCTATCATCTATCTAATTCCCGCGCTCTGCGTTCTCCAAATCATTCGGGCCTCTAGCGCGCCACTGACGTAGCAGGGTACAGGTGGGGGTGCATGTATGTATGCTTGTTAACTGTGAGCTCTTTACTCTAGTTTGAAAATAAGGCCGTCGTCTGAAAAGAACAAGCATTTAATCGAAATCCCCTGCATTGGCGCCCGAAGTTCAGTTAAAAAGATGGGCTTCAGATCCACGGCGTACCAGGTAGGCCCTCTGCCATTCCGGTACCCATTTACAAATGCCTCATGATAAAGTGCCATTGAGAGTAAGAAAATTACGTTAGAGAAAGCTCCTCACAATAATAATTTTCATTTACACTTGCTGATCGGCTCTCAATCAAGGACCCAAAAATCTAACGATAATGGTAAGCAGACGGGAAAGGCCTTGGTGCTATGACCTTTTTAATACCGGAGGCACAGCCTCCAAGGTATTGCCCCAGGCCACAAACTCAACCTGGTCAACACCAAGCCATCAATGGGCAGCTTGAGTATCACGTATCACAAGATTTCGAATGATGCTCATTTCAGCTCAATTCGAAAACAAATCATGTGTGCATAATGGGATATACGAATAGCAAATTGATTACCAAGGTTTAGTGGAGATAAAAGGTTATTTTCATACTGGCATAACCGCCGGTACAATATCAAAATAGTCACAATATTTTGTATTAAAGACAAGCCTTCAAGCTAAGCTCCATTGTACCCCAGATTGCTTACAAATCATACACCATCCTCCCCCACCTTGCATCCAAACTACTTTCTCTGATTCAAGCCCAATCAATCCAATCATCGCTATGCCTACCTTCAAAGCCAACGATGGAATCACACTTGCCTACGAAACACACGGATCTGACAAAAACACCCCTCTGATTCTAGTAAGCACCCAACCTCCACCCCGCTCATCCACCTGACCACGTCTACCAGCTCCATGGCTTCACAGGCTCTGGGGCCGTCTTCAAGCGCAACATCACCGCCCTCTCGCAGCACCACTATGTCATAATCCCCAATCTCCGGGGCCATGGCAGCTCCGACAAACCCAAAGCCGGCTACCACGTCTCGCGCCTAGCCATGGACCTCAAAAACCTACTCGACCACTTCAATCTCAGCAATGCCGCTGTGAAAGCCATTGGCACAAGTCTCGGCGCAGCGATCCTCTGGTCCTACACCGAACTCTTCACTACATCCCCCTTTTCCCACATGATCTTCGTGGATCAAGCCCCCTTGCAGAATTACCTCGACGACTGGGGCCCATCGTTTGGAAACCGCGGATGTAACTCCCCAGATGCCCTTTTAGCGATGCAGAAATCGTTGATTCACGAGCCGGAAAAGGCGCATGTGGGGACGATTGCCGCCTGTCTGGGGTATAGATCGCACCCGCGGTCTGGGGATCCAACGCCAGAGTCGCAGGTTTGGAAGGAGGATGAAGAGTTCTTTTTGGGAGAGGCGATGAAGGGAGACGGGTGGTGGTATGGCAAGTTGATGGCGGATCATACGGCGAATGATTGGCGGTATTCGATTGCGCAGAATTTTGGACCGGGGAGTAAGAGTGCGACGCGGGTGCTGGTGGTTGCGAGTAGTAGGAGTGGATGTTTCCCGGCTGATGGTCCATTGAAGGTTGTTGAGCTGATCAATGGAGGGAAGGATGAGGGTTTTGCGAAGGGAGTGACGGTGGAATGGGGTGGGCACTGGTGTTACTGGGAGAAGCCTGAGCTGTTCAACGAGCTTGTGCTTGAATTTTTGCAGTAGATAGTATGTCACATATCGAGACAAAGTTGCAGGCAAGGAATGCATTGATAATGAACATCAAGTCTATTGTGATATGTCCAAGTCCAAAAGTCCTAGCCATTTCACAGCAACTACAATTCCTAGTCCCGCGATAACTGCGAATGATATTAACTTAATAATGCCGTCAACTTGCAACCAAAGCAGCAAAGTCTTCAATACCCCATCGCACTCCCCATGTCGCACCACTCCCCTCCATCTATTCCCCCTCTAGCCACTCCCCCGCCATCTTCGCTATATTATGTGCCTGCTCCTTAAACCCCAAAATGCCCCCGAGCAACAAAATATCATGCGGCACATTCTCCTCCGAATCCAGCACAATCTCATTCCCCTCTTCCCTCATCTTGCCCGCCCACTCCACCACATCAAAAAACAATAACTCGCTGCCCCCAATACTTACCCACATGGGTACTGGAGTGCGGAACATGCTGTACTTGGGCGAGACATACGGCGAAGACAAGACTTTCTCGCCTGCAAGACCAGCATACGCGCTTGTGCCCCATTTGGTGAAGGGCGGGGATAGGTAGTCGGTCTTGTAGTTTCTGTTGTCGTGGACGTAGGAGCAGGATGTGTCTGAGGGGTCGACCCAGGGGGACCAGAGAAGCGCGGCAGAAGGGTTGGGGAGATCGAGTTCAGCGCCGTACTCGGTTATGTAGCGGAGGAGGGCGATGGTGAGGTTGCCGCCTGCTGAGTCGCCAGAAATGATGATGTTCTTTGGGGGGATCTTGAGGTCGTTGAGGAGGTAGAGGTACGAGGTTAGGACGTCTTGGAGTGCGGCTGGGAAGGGGTTTGATGTCGGTGAGGCAGGCAGGGTGGAGAGTCGGTATTGTGGGCAGAGGATGTGTGTTGCCGGTGAGTGTTTGAGTAACAGTTTTGCCATGAAGCCGCTTGCCTGGGTCCTTCCGTCGCCGTGGACGAATGCGCCTCCATGGGTGTGCAGGATGACCTTTGTTCTGCTCTTATCGCTACCGGCTGTCAATGGCGCTGGGTACCATGTTGCGCCGATCTCCACGGGCACAACATCTTTGTTGCTCCTTAGCGGTCCTTTGTAAGCATCAGAATTGGCGGGTTTGACAAGAATAAATCGCTCCTTTTCTGCTCCTGGTGTGAGGGGAAGTGGTGTTCCAACTTGCAGTTTTGCGATGTGCCATAGAACCGAGGAGAAGACGCGCGTGCTGATGGCCTGGCGAAAAGTCCATTTAGGGTTCTGGCGACCAAATCCGAGTAGAAAAGTAACGAGATACACTGGAAAGCGGGAAATCTCGAAGCCAATGGCGCAGATTGCGTATACACCCTTCAGGGGCTGTCGCGTGAAGTCTACCATGGCGGATCGCCGTGCCTGGGGGCACTCTTGAACTCCTGAATACTAGAGATTGACGCAGAGCGACTCTGCAAATCTTCAACTGTCCGTTAGGACGGAAATAAAGAACAGAGAAGCGCAGTCCAAGGGCTGGCCGGAGAGTGCTGTAGGATGACAGCTTGTTCGTTGGGAATATCTGCCTTGAGGGGCCAGGACTAGTGCGGGGGACAGTGAGATACCGTCATATGTCCGTGCATGTACCGCGGTACTTTGTCACATGATTACCATCACAATGTCGTGCTGCATCAAAACTACAGCACGGATAGGAGGATCTCTAAGTTTGCGTTGTTCTGGTGGATTTGTAGGGTTGGATCATGGATTGATCTTCAATCGGAGCAATATCCTGACGGCTGTGCAAAAGGTAAGGCCGAGTCGATCTTCATCCAGGTACACATCGCCTCGGCGCAGATGGATGTGCATTGCTGCTGTCGCTAATCTTTCAGTGCAACCTTGAATATTCTGATATGAATTAGGTTGGAGAATCACGCGCAGTATGTGTTTAGGAGAAGCAAACAATTGACCTTGTTGCAGCCAAAGCTGTATGTCACGATCCGTCCTAGCGGTGTTCAATGCAAGAGGAAATGCGATGTGATTGCAAGTCGCAACGATTTCAAGATGGCAGAAATATCCCTGTTTGGATATCTCTCTATCGTGCAACTTATAGGCTGGAAGTAGAGTATTGACATAGTACCGCTGCGAGGTAGCAGCGGTTGGTTGGTGTCGCTCGCCCCACTAGCCAGCGACGGCTGTTAATTGGTGTCGCTCCCCCCACCTGATCAGCCACAGAATCTAGCTACTATAGTCGGGATGTGGGGTAAGCGACATCAATCGACAGCCGTCGCTGAGCAAGGGGAGTGAGCGACACCAATCAGCAGCGTATCGCTCGCCAGGGGGCAGGCGACACTCATCAACAGTTGCTGGTCAGCCACAGCCAGGTATACGATATTCCAGGGAGCAGCATAAGCGCGGCACCAACCGCTTCACGCGCCACAACACACAGCGGTCGTAACTTCAAGCAGCCGTCGATAGCAATTGGACAGCGTAAGCATACACACCAATGGCTATGTCACACATTTGAATCAACTGAAAGATTGTGGGTCAAAACCAAGATCCTTCTATCCAATGCGACATTGACCACATAGCAGGTATCTAAACGCCGACACAATAGTCCAGGAGAAGAAATGGATATGTGATTTCCAAACCCCTAAATTTTAAGCTATCAATACAGATTTAAGTCTTCTCATGCATCACACAAAACTCGGATTTCGTCCCCAAAAGAAGAGTTTAGCGCGCGATCACGGTGCTCAGTCGCATCATATACAAAAGCGCGTACGTCGCACTATTATTGACAAGTCCTCAGCTTCGTGTACCCTAATCCCCAAAGAGCCGACCTCTAAGCTCTATATCATGGCACACCCTCTACTGACATAAATACACAGTAACCCGCGGTACATACATACACCCCCAAAACGCCCCCTCATCGCAACCCCAACCTAACCCTCTACAGCTTGGCCGGCAACTTCCCATTCTTCTGCGCCGTATACGTAGCAATCAGGTCCATCAATTGCGGACTCAGCACATCATACGACTGCAGCCCTACGCTCCTAAACTTCTCCCTCACAGCATCCATCTGCGCCGGATTGAACCCTTGCTCAATGATACTGCTTACAAACGCCGCAAACTGCGGTTCCTGCCAGCCGTTCGTGTTGCTCAGCTCCGTGTGCACAAAGTCGAGGCCCTTGAATGGATGGTCGACCACAATGCGGCCGAAGAGGTGGACACCGCACTCCTTGCATGCGTTACGCTGGATGGCGGCTGATTCGTCGATAATGTGCAGTTTATGGCCGTTGGCGGTGACGGAGACGTTTTCTTTAGGCACGACGCCGACGACAGAGAAGAGGGCGCCCTTTGGTTTCCAGCATTTCGAGCAGCCGCATGCGTGGTTGTGCGCGACGTTGCTCGAGAGCGTGACTTCAACTTTATCCGACGGACAGTGGCAGTAGAGTTTGCCGCCAGGGAAGTTGGGGTTGCCCTTTTTGATGCCGTTGTCTATTGCTGGGTGGATACTGGGCATCTTGAATTAATCTTTTTCTTTAAGCAAAAAAAAGAGGATTGATATTGAGGTACGAAATGTAGACTTTTTGGAGTTTGCGATTGACTTGTAGTACGAGACTGACTTGCAAAGGAATAAAAGGTAAAGAGGTACACTCTACCGGAACTATATAGCAGCCTTCCCCATTTTTCCCGACATCTGGACTGCACGGCACCCCCCTCATCGGACTATCAGGCCATTTTCGACATGAATTACGATGCGAATGGCGCAATTGTCTGGCTTCTTGACTTTATTGTGGACTGTTTGTATGCGGAACCGCATAAGGTTTCCACTTTAGGTCACTCGGACCTTCCCCGCTTCATTGCACGAACCGCACTTTTCAATTGCAATCAGGCTTGGCCTGTGCAATCGATTCGCCACAGAAAACAGCGACTCGCGAACACCTTTTCCCTTTAATACTCTTGTCGCTATCGCGATATCCTCTTACCAGCGAAAGATTTGGAATTCGAAGCGTCGAGTTGCGCTGCGATGCGATGTTACGTTGGATGGTGGCGGGGATGTACCGGTAGTAACGTTCGTGTACGTACGCAAGTACCTGGTACCCGGCCGAATCGGACACTCTTTTTCTCTCCAATCTTGATCGCAAGCATAATCCCCCCAAACGTACCCCAAGAATCTTGCTATCCCATTTATCCAGAACGAGTCCAGATGACGGTCCAAAAGCTTTCCCACCACGTGCGGATCCGAAACAATACGACCTCATCATGCACGTCAGCGCGCAGCCAAGATTACCATCTCGAAATACATTGGACTTGGAGACTTATTCCGCGAGCAAGGGGGGAGCACTAAGCCCTGTTATTTCAGATACTTCCTTGCTAAATCACAGAATCAATCGTAGATCCGCGTTCTGCATGGTATAGTATTTCCTGGGGTGAATTTTCCCCCATATCATCCTGATTAGTGAACTCAGCCGACCCACAACATGCAGCATCCTCATCCAGACATCCAGCGTCCATCATGTAAAAGAAAAAATGTTTATCTTTTTTAGTCCCCGAAACCTCTAAATCAGCCCTCTATTGCTAATTCATTACTCCCTTTCTGGCTTTCCCCCCCTTCCCCCCAGCGACCCAAGCACCACCCTCTCCCTCCGCCACCCCCACACCAACCCATTATACCGCGCCAGCAACGCCCTCTGCACCGCCTCTTCGTACTTTTCCCTAATCTCACAAAGCGCTATTTCTTTATCTAAAGTCAACATCATTTCCTCCATCTCTTCTCCTTGCAAGTTCTCAACCGCAGGATTCCATGCAGGGTCTGCGTGGATAGAGTCGCGGGCGGCGGGTATGGCTGGTGTGACGGGGACATCAAAGCGATATTTCTGGCGCAACGCTTGCTTTGGGGATAGAGAGCAGCGGGGGAGTGTGGGCGAGGAGAGGGGTGGGGTGAGTGCTGGGGGTGTCCAGGTGGTGCGTTGGCCGCATTCGAATTGTGAGGAGGGTTGTGAATGGGAGGGTGGCGGCGAAAGGGGTGAGAGTAAAGGATGTGCTGTATTAATGTTACCCAGGGGTGTATGAGATTGCGGTGGTGGGGTTCGAGTTCGTTGGAGCGGAGCTGATGGAAGTAAAGTACAGCCGTTTCTTTGGAGAGAAGGGTTGTTGGTTTCGATTATGCCAGAGGCTGAGGCTTCGGAAAGGATATCGCGGGCTGGCTTTTCCCAGCTATCAGGCGGTGTCTGGTGTCGTGTTATCGCTTTGAGAGTCAGGCTTTCGTATGTTGCGGTTGTCCCAAAGAGACTTTCGGTGATGGCCCTGCTGACTTGGGTACGATGCTCTTGGGACCCGAAGAAATTCGGACAAGATGCATCGTTGATGGCGGTGAATGAAAGGGATGTGGGTGCCATGTCTCGAGCAGGGCGTCTGCTATGTCGCTGCTCCTTCACTCGAAGATCGTTCAAAACTAGTTCAGTTGGATACAGCGGATATTCCGAGTCGGTTATGATGGGTGGATTGATTGTACAGTAGCATATTAGGACATCCGATGCGTGATCGGGGTAGAGTTCCGTCTACGATTCCCAAGTAAACAAAGAAAGACTCGAGTTGTTTGTTATGGACAAAGACACCATGTTTGTGATAAAGAGCTCATTATTGCCCCCTCCAATGATCCAAGGACAAAGTTTTATGGAATGATTAGCATTCGATCTATTTCCTTTGTGGTACACGGGTGCCCGCCTCGATCTCTGGAGCGGTTCTCCACGCCTTCAGGTGGAGCTGGCAAGACTCAGCTCACAAGCGTTCCAAGGTCGACGCAAGCCCCTGAATTTGGCTTGCCCATCTGCCCAACATCATCTTCCCTTCCATTTTTATTTCCGGCGTTGGACCGCAATAAACCACAATCAACACAGGAGCGACGCTGCGTAAAAGGTCGAACCCAGGCGTTTTTGCGCGTTCAACCTCGGCTGCAGTCTGCAGTATGGCTCGGGAATAGTTATACGCTTCGGAATAATAGTGTCCTATGCTATGCTCGGATGGTGTCAACGGAGTACTGGATTCAGTGTGGATCTTGTACATGAGCATATTGAGCAAGACTCTATCTGCCATGTAGTTTGAACTGATCAGTGCCCTGACTGGGTCGGTCTTTCCTATTTTTGGATATTTCTGTTTTGGAGATTGCGAGGAAGACTCTGGGGTCTGGGTGTTTTCAGGGTTGGTGAATTGCTTCGTTAAATGAGGGTACTTTTTGGCCCAGCCGTCGAGATCTTTGAGCAATTTAGATATGAGTTCCTGAGCAGGTATCACATCAACATTGGGCGGTACGGTCATCTCAAAAATAGTACGCAAAGATCCTGGAATCTCTAGATAGGCTGTACAGTAAGGTATCATAAGGTTGATACCGGCGAGATCCTGGTGTGGGTCGCTGGGCATATCGACGAATGGTATTGTCATCCAATCTTGGGAGCAAAATGTCGATTTCTTGTTAAAAACGATTGACCTGTGAGCCTAGGAGCCGTCAGCGTGGTACCATTGAGAATGCGGAATGTCGCAAACACACCTCTTGGCCGCGGATGGCTTTGAAGAGTGGCCAGATTACGCCAGATCTACAGTTGGCTGGGCCTCGCATCTTCATGATCTCTCCTGCTGCATCCAAGTGTGCGAGTAAGCCAGCAGACGTTGCGCCAACGTAGAGCTCATATAGCGCAAGGATAAGCGGTACCAGAACTTCTCCTTCATCTGGGATATTGTTCTTTTTCATTTTTGCTATCGAGTTTCGCTGCACACTCAATGCAACAGTGTACCATCTCCAGGAGTCGATGAGTATACTTGAGTCATGATGGTACTTGCCGTAAAATGCCATCGACATTGCACGAAGTGATAGTCTGACAGCGGGCTTGGAGGCGCTACTAAATATTTCTGGCAAGTGAGCAAGCCACTGGATTTCAGGCGCATAGGCGTTTTTAACATGATTGAGCTCTACATAATGGGTAAGGAAGGCATTGTCCAATGTTGATGACAAGGCTTTCGAAGGTTGGTTGAAGGTAGGAGGTCTGTAGTGGTAGCGGATGGCTATCGTGGCCCTCTCCACCTGTTCAGCATGTCGACTGTTGGTAGGAAACATGGGGTTCTGAAGAGGCATGTCTAACGGGGTAGCAGGCTTTTTTGATGCGATAGATACCGCATGATGTGAAGGCTTCGTGGCAGGAGTCTCGCTAGTTGAGGCTGAAGCTGATGCCCTCACTATTTCTTTCTTTTTTCGTCCTTTTGGTTTCCCCACACGCTCAGTCATGTCAATGACGATGGAGCCCTGCAACGGCCCCGAGCATTTGATTCCCAGGCGGCGGCACTGGTTGCATATCTCTGGCGTCTCATCACACTGTAGAGAAAAGGGTCAATGGTTGTACCGGATATGTGACATACGGTAAACGAACCTTGACGCGTCTCGTGCGGCATTGGGAACAAGCGCGGCTGCGCTGAGATTTAGGGGGCATCTGACCTGTGTCTCCAACGGCAATACAAATGAGTGGAATACTGTGTAAGAAGTGTTCTAGCGATGTAGTTGGCACAGTGCTGTAGGAACGTAAGAGTATTTGAGACCAAAGTATTGGCTAGTGTTGGTATTGATCATCGTCAGGGATTGTCCGACAAGAAACGCATTTCTTCTGTGAAAGGTTAGGTTGCCGCCCGGACAGGCGTGACACACCGATGGATGCCTTTGCCGAAAAAGTTTGGCTGATTACGGCGGACCACCGTGCGGCCGAACCGTGATACAGACAGATCTGGCGGCATTGCCCTCATGATATTATCTTAGTCATGCATACGACCACACAATCACGGCATCGTGATCCCGCACTTTCCGACAATCTGCATCTCGGGTGGAAAGCGGAAGAACATGCGCATAGCCAACTGTGTGAACAAAGCCAGCCCCTTACATGCAGGGCCTGATGGATCTAGTTGATTGCTGAAACAGACTACGCCACCCTAATATTGACACCTAAAATCGAAGAGCATGCATCTGACAGCGCCGCCTCGTTTCATAACAGTGGAGGCCTGGGGAACACTTGGTGAATTCAACGGCTGTATGCACCCATTGCTTCTTGTCCTCTTGACATTCAAAAAAAATTAGTCGTATTCCTCGATACGGGGTTGTACGTTTTCTGCTGGGATGACGAAACTAGCCACCAATCGCTTGCAAATGCCCCAATCATCATGTGTGTATGTATGTATGATATCCATGGTCCCTGCCAGCCAACAGATCTACATTTCTCCCTTCTCCCCCCTTTTCTTGCCTTCCTGCTGCAACTCTTTCATGTGTGCTTCGTGGTTGTCGACTTGTTGCCGGTCAGCGGCAATATTGCTTTCGCCAGAGCTGGCTAGATCCTCGCGCCATCGCCCCTGTCCCTGTTGCTGTTCCTTGAGCTGTTCCTGTTTGGCTTGCTCGATCTGGTCCGCGCTGCGGTTGGCATCTTCCTTAATGCCCATGCGTTGTGTAATTGCAAAGGTACGACGCGTCGACAGGGTCATGGGTGTGCGGAGAGAACGCGTAGTAGCGCTAAGAATAGTGCGGGGTGCCATTGTCGGTGCTTTGAAGCTTGAAAAGGGAGTTGATGAGTGTGGATGCTTGGGAGGAAAAGACGACGAATATCGTGATAGGTTTTTGTGAAGAGAAAATGTTCGCTGAGACAGCATGTTATGGCTGTGGAGTCTTTAACAACCGTCATGGGCTGTGACGTCATCTCCTGCAGTGAGACCTGCTGCGTAGGCATTCACGCTCCACTTCAAATCTCGGCACTCTACACGACGTCAGCCAGGATTGAAGTGGAGCTGATCTGTGAGCAGCCTCGCAAAAGTTGCAACAGGTGGATAAGGGTACCACAAGAAAACGAATCTTAATTAAACGTTGAGATTGAACTTGCTATGCGCCTGCTCCCCCAAGAATGTATGTACACCATTTCTTGAAACTCGTAAAAGTAGCTTAATCCACCATTGTGACATGCCCTAAATGCTCCATGGATCGTCCATATCTCCCATGCACCAGCTCAGCTCATATATGCCTCCCCGTTGTGTTTCTGCGACATCACTGAGAAACCATCACGCGCTGTGTATGCTCATCCTGAGCTGTTCTTTGGTGCACTGCCTGCACCACTGCTCTTCTTGCTTGGTGCGCCCCCGTGTCCTCCAACGGTGGGGCTGTTGGGTTCGCTGATGTCCTTGTTGCCAGGGCTAACATTCAAGCTGTTCTGCTTCCCACCAGCTTCGCGCTCAGCATCTGCCTCTTCTGCCTCTGGAGATGTCTTTGAGGGGTTAAAAGCCGCGTCTGTATGTGCTGCACCATCATCAGAGCCAGATTTGGCATACTCGGTCGATCGTGGGTTGAGCGAGTCTTTGTCTTGTGCATCCTTTTGCGCAAATCGTGCTGGGCTCGTTGAAAGGAAGCGGGGACGAACGACTTGAGGGCGAGTGAAGACTGCGCGTTGAACTGCGCGTGCGGGCTGGATACGGAACATCTTGAGGAGTGAGTTGAGTTTCTAGATGTAGTATCTGTGTGGGGGTACTGTTGGAAAGCTGTTCAAGGTTCTTGAAGGTATCAATTGAGTTATTGAGAGGTGTTTTAAAACCAGATATTGGTGATATACAGATTGGTTAAGGTGACGAGTAGATGCGTGTGAAGCTTCGCACGACGGTGTTGTGACGTCATTTGCCGAAGTCCGACCGAAGCATTTGCTCACGTGACTAGGACACGCATGTCGATGACTATGGGAATCTGTCCTTCATATGTCTGAACGAAATAGGTTCTTCTATTGAATGTGGAATAAGATATGTGCTAATCTTACTCTTTTAAGAAGATATTAAAGCCAAATTTTAACATATAAAGTTAACCGATTCGTAACGCCCTACCCTAACAAGGTAACTTACCCCATCGTAACATTGAAGTGATTAGATGTAGAAGATGGTTACAACACGAATCATACTTCGTGAAACTAAAGAGTTTCAGCGCATTCAGTCGAAAACACAATGTCATCGTATCCCGACGGCTTACTTTTTCTAATCTATCGTCCTTCCAAAGACGGAATGGTCTTAGGTCTAGATTGTCCTACCCGCTACAGGAACAACACTTCTCGCCCCAGGCAGCAGCAGGTTAGGCCATATCACATGACTGGCCAGATTGATCACATCTTTGTTTTCGGGCGTATTTCTTTGAGCGGTTGAGGTAAAGGTGGAAGGCTCAACACAAATAAATAATTGAGGCATTCAATACCCTCGACGCGGTCCGTTTTCAATTAGCTGCGTCTTATCGCCACACAACAACCATAATGGCACTCTCTGCATGGATTCCGCCTCCCCCTCCAGATCCAGAAACACTAAAGAACCCTGCTCAATTCTCTTCTTTCCCACTGAGCCAGCTGCGAGCAGGCAAGATCAAAAAGTCCCTTTGGAATGGCAAGATTGAATCGGCAATCTACAAGACTCCTTTGGCCGGCTCTGTTGAAATAACCGAACTGGGTATCACGACAGACGAACATGCATTTCCTAAGCATGTGAGCCCCGACAAGGCTCTCCTCCACTACTGCGCATCCCATTACGACGACTGGAGGAAGGAATTGCCAAAGTCAGAACACTACTTCAAACCTGGCGCATTCGGTGAAAACCTGTTCAGCACAGAAGTCAGCGAGAAGACACTTTGCATTGGTGATCGGCTGGCGATTGGAGATGTCATTGTTGAAGTTAGTGAACCGCGAGGACCATGCTTCAAGCTCAATCACCGTTTCGAAGTCAAGGATATGGCCAAGCGCACGCAGACTCTTTTTCGCACTGGCTGGCTATATCGCATAATCAAGACGGGAGCAATCAAGGAAGGGGATATGATCTTGCTGCTTGAACGACCACATCCGGAATGGACAGTGGCACGCGTCATGTACTATCTCTTCATCGAAACCAACAACACTAAGATGATGGAGGAGATCGTCAAGATACCTCAGCTCGGCTGGGATATCAAGGATCAGTTTCAGGCTAGACTTGACAAGGGCGTAGCTGAGGACCAGAGTGGTAGATTGTTCGGCGGCGAGGACGAAAAGACATTCGCCTGGAACGAATATCGCCTAGTAGAGAAGAGGAAAGAGACCAAATCCGTCACAGCCTTTACTTTTGAGGCAGTAGAGGATGTTCTTGAAACTCATCCTGTCCAGCCAGGTAGCCATGTGCGAGTGAAGCTAGGCGGAAAGCTGGTGCGCGCCTACTCAGTAACCAGCGGGACGTCCAAACGTTTTGAACTCGGCGTCGCTCTCGATCCCGACAGCCGCGGTGGTTCAAAGTATCTGCATGAACAAACCAAGATAGGCGATGTTTTGACGGTTGGGCGCATCATAGCGAGCTTCCCGCTAGCCAAAGAAGCAGACAATCACATTATCATCGCGGGTGGCATTGGCATTACAGCCTTCCTGGTCGCACTCGAGCAGCTCCAGGAAACAAAGCAAAACTTCCATCTGCACTACGCTGTTGCAGAGGAAGTACCTTTCGTAGCCCAAATCGCAGCACTAGGCCCACATGCAACCATCTACAACAAGTCCGCCGGCCAGCACCTAGACATCTCTTCCATCCTCGGCAAAGCAAACGACCGAACACACATCTACACCTGTGGACCAACCCGACTCATGGACGATGTTGTCGACACCGCAAAGACTTACGGCATTTCCAAGTCGTCCGTCCACATCGAAGCCTTCACAACCACAACTTCCGGTGATCCATTTACGGCAGAGCTCCGAAAGAGCAAGAGGAGTGTACAAGTCGGCGCAACGCAATCGCTACTCGACGCACTGAAAGCCGTAGGCATGGACATTGACAGCTCCTGTGAAGTCGGCAATTGCGGAACATGTACAGTAGATGTATGTTCAGGCCGAATTGAGCATCGCGGGACCGCGCTTCAAGAATCGGAAAAGGAATCTAGCATGTTGAGTTGCGTGAGTAGAGGCATAGGTAATATCGTCCTAGACTTGTAATACAATCTTTCACCATATCCCGCAACCTATCAGTTAGTATCCGAAGTCATCTCCATTCCACCCACATAATCGACTTCACTTTAAAAAAAACACATGGATTTTGAAACTTCAAAATTCATATTTCAGAAGCTCTTCCAAGCTTCCTACTTCTAACCAAAAAAAAAGGAAATAAACGCCTCAAATGCTAATCCAAAGAGATATATACAAAAGAATTCTTCAATCATCCCACCGCATATTCAGAATCAAATCCTGCACCTCCTGACTACTAAGTCCCTTCTTCTCCCCACCCTCGCTGTCGGGTTGTGCGTCGGCGAGTCACATGCTACCGTTGAACCACCACGCAGCTGCGGCAGGCCATCCGAGGATTATGGCGTAGAAAGGGAAGTAGCTATGGACAAACCCGTTAGTTGTTGCTTTTTTTTAATGGAACAGGAAAAGAAGACTTACACAGCACTCGTCTTGACGAATCTCTGTCCCAAGTCGCCGGCGCGCCAGGCATGCGGTGCCATGGTTATGGGGTTGCGGGCAAAAGGGTGGGGTTCGACCATGCCGCGGGAGAGGGTGCGCCACATGATACGTGCTTGAGTTGCTGATGGCATTTTTGTTGTGTTGTTGTTGTTGTTGTTGTTGTTGTTGTAGTGATGGGATATCCAAATAAGACTTGTGTTGTCGATTGATGGTTCAGATTCTTGTCGTTCTGTCTTTCAGATTCGTGGTTCGGCTTCTCGAAACAAAAAAAAAAGAGTCTTGTCGATATCAAGTAGTTGCGTAGATATCCTCTATCCTCGTCTCTAATATACTCGTTTGTATGCGTTGTATGCACTGTTGGTTGTATGCGTTGATGTGGTACAAAAAAAAAACACCTTCACTCCCATCCTATATACACCTCCCGCAAACCAACCCTTCCACCCTTCTCCATCCGAAACGAAAAACCCACACCAGATCACGCATACAGCAATCACGAAAAAAAAAAAACAAGCGAATCCTCCATATCATCGCACCACCACAACCACACTCCTCTGGATGGCGTGAGCAAAACCCACCCACCCGGCACATCCCTTACCCACCCGACTTACTAACCCCCAGATTCGCCAATAAAAAACTACCAAAAGCGGTAAACGCCAGATTGCTCATCGAACGCAGTCGCGCACCACCGGCGCAAATTACCAGGTTGAGCACGCGCATGTCCGCGCCGCCGTGTACTTTAGACGAGTTTTTTTTAGGGGCCCCAAGCAGGGGGTGGTGGGCTGTGTGTTGTTGGTTGGGTGAGGATGGGGTGATATTTCTTCTGCCTTGGTACTCGGTAAGCGGAGGGCGCCGGGCGGGCCTGCCGGGGCGTGCGGGCGCGAGTCAGGGGGTCTGGAGGGATGGAGAGGGGTGGTGAGACGGTGGTGTGATGGGTTGGTAAGACGGGATTTGGAGGGAGAGAGAGAGAGAGATGATAATTATGTAGGTAGTTAATCAGCAATTATGAGTGGTAGAATTACTGAATATTGTCATCATCGTCGTTCTTCGCTTCTCATGAATTGTACGTAGGATGCGCAGGCATTCGGAGGGCCGTTGTCGAGGAAATTTGCGGCGTGAATGGACGGATTGAGCGCTGCCATGCAGACAAATGATACGTAGTGTACATAGATAAAGACCAAAAAAAATCGAATCGGGGGTATAACATCATCACGCATCGATCATTCCCACCACCTCTCCTCGTCTCAATGCAACTTCACCCTACGCCTTACCTAGCTCAACAATCTCCCCAGCCACAATCCACACGTTATCCTCCCTCTTCCCTTCCAAACACTGCACTCCAGCCTGTACCGCCGCCCTCGCAATAACGTCTGCATCTTGCGCCCACACATCCGTCAACTTGCCACTTCCAACCAATCCCTTCAAGCCCTTAGCCAGGCTCCTAAATGCCGCCTCAGCCGGCCGACTCTCTTCTCTATCCCCAACAATCAACCCGGGCCGCACTATAACCGTATGCTTGAAGCCTAGAGCCTTCACCGCCTCTTCCAATTCACCCTTCATCTTCGGATACGCAAAATATGACTTTACATTCGCGCCATTGGACGAGATGAGGACGCATACCTCTGTGCCGGCTTGTTTGGCGGCTTTGGCTAGGTCAAGGGCGAGATCGTAGTCGATTTTACGTTGGGCTTCGACGCCGCCGGCTTTTGCGCGCGTGGTGCCGAGGGCGCTGAAGAAGATCTTGGGGGCTTCGGCGGAGGGGAATTGAGACGCCCATTGCGCGGAATCGCCGGATATGATGGGTTGGAGCTTGGTGGAGCCATTGGGGTTGGGTAGGTCGCGGCGCGAGAAGGCGAAGACAGAGGAGAAAGAGGGATGACCGAGGAGGGTGGAGAGGATGTTGGAGCCCTGGGTAGAGTTGTTAGTTGTATATCCGTGGTGTGAGAGATGAGTGGCTGGGACGTACGACGAGGCCGGTACTGCCGGCAAGTACTGCTTTTGCCATCGCTCTTGGTTGGTGATATCAAGGAGGTCGAGGTTTGTGGTGGTCCTTCAATCAGAGCGTTGAGACGGTCGTTGGAATGCGCAGTCGCAAACAAATTCCCGGGCTAGATAGCGTGCTGGATAGCGCGTGGGATAGCGTGCCTGCTTGAGTGGGGATGATCGGCGAGACGTCGGAGGTCAGTGTGTTGATGGCTCGTTGATCCCATGTGGAACCACGAACGTGCGGAAAGGAAGTTGCTGGGTGACAACCTCGAGACGAATCTCGTGGTGTGATAACGCAACACCCTCTGATTATATCAGGCGGTATGGCACTCGTGTCAAGCCCTTCATTTCGTACGCTGAAAGAGCGTTTTTCTAAAAACGAAAGTTCCTTAACTCATTTGCCTTACTATGTGCCATCAAGAAGGATGGTGACAGCGTCTCTCCAGCGTGCGTGGATGGAGGCTTACCTCAAGGGACAATTATCCAGATCGCTAGTAGTGACGGCGTACGCGAGAGTACTTTGTATCAGCTCCAGCAGATCCTAGATTCCTTCAATGGCATCGCGCACCGAATTCGAAGCAGACTTGGGACAGATTTGAGACAATCTGGATACACATGAGACCCCTGGGAGCCCATTGAGGGTGGTCGAAATAAATGAGAGCTCCATAACCACCCGAATAGAGGCGATAAAATGATAAATTGCTTTGAGTAATTAAGCATCTGAATATTCTTATTATTTGCTGCGATGGCGTGTGGACAAATTTCCTATTACAAACTGCTAACCGTGTTGGTGACCTGGTAAGACGATGTGTTTTTGCAGAGAGAACAGTGGAAAGTCAGTTGATGGGCTTGAGCCTCTGTGGACATCTGAGTGTAAACTGGTATTTCTTAGAGTATTACTATTGTTTTCAATACGCAGCTGCTTTGAATACTGAGCTCCAAGTACAGCTGACATGCTGGTACCAGAGGTACATATCCCCATATCTTATGTTCTGTTCATCACATGTGTCCGGTAACACAGCCACTACCGATACCTCATCGTGCAGTGTGGGGTTGTTACACAAGCCTGCACGCAAATCGAGCCATCCAAAATCATAACAGTCATGCCTTATGTGAATTAGATACGCAATAAATCTTCTAATATAGACTGAATTTCGAATGCGATTGCATAAGCTTCGCAATTATATCATGGAAGTGAGCCGGCAGCACCAAAAGCTGGCACAACCAGACAAGTAAAGTGGGAGAGTAACACGCGTGTTTGGGGTGCTGTCGCTGAAGGAACGATACTGCCGGTTACACCAAACCACGCACGATTACGTTCAACGTGGGGGGCCAAGAAACATTCTGGGTCGTAAAAACCTATTGCATGCTGCATTTGTGTAGTGATACATGAGCTATTCTACGAGCATAAATAAAATATGTACTATGTTTGGAGAAACTTGGAGTTTGCTTATATCATGTAGGCCGTTTATGGCAATTTGGAATGGAACAAGTAATCGTGTCGGCAGATGATTGGGCACTGTTCCCATTCCTCTTGTTGGTGGCCAAACAATAAATCCTTTACAAACACACCTGGTAAGTCGCTACGTCATGTGAACAGCTGCCTTCACTTTCTAGCTGCTTGCTCTTACAACATTTCTTTGCCCGCAGCCTTCCTCATAGGTCGCATCACGCTCATTGGGGTATTTCAATCTATTGAATTCCGCTTTGTTTCTCCGACGGATCACAGTGTTCATATGCAAAGATCGCGCAACGCGACAAGACGTTCTGATCGCACAGCAACTCCCCTTGCAACCTTAGAAACAAAATGACAGTTGATATTCCCAATCTGTCGACTTTCAGTAATCCGCTGCTTTGTTCCAACAGCAAGGAGATACCATGTCAGGCACATGCTGGGCGCGGATGTAATAGCTGCCACTTGGTTCAAGTATGTCTTCCGTCTTTCTCGCTCATCTTTCGTGGCCAGATAGCCCATTTTCATAGCCCTATTTAACCCACTGATGCAACAACAGTACTGCTCAAAGGAATGCCAGACTGCAGATTGGTCTCGACACAAGCAAGCATGTAAATCCCCATTCATGAAAAACACTTGGGAACCCGAGTGGTATCGTACTGGTCGCCAGCCCGATTTTATCGGCGAGGGTCCCTCACACACCACGTTCGGCAATAGAAAGTATCTCTGGGGCAACATGCCTGCTCTCGATATCTTGAAGCCTCAGGATAATGAAGGTATGACCAGTGCAACGAGCCACGACTTCAACCTCCTCTTTGCCGCATCGGGTGATCTTCGGAACGTCATCAAGACTATTGCCGGGCTGCCAGAGGGATATGGAGGTAAATGCGTTGCTGTTTTAAACGATATGGATTTCGTCGTCGTGGCTCGCAATGCCATCATGCTCCTCGCTGCACTTCAGTTCGAACCAGACGTCGCAGCACCGATAATTATCCATTTATGGTACTCAGCACTACTTCCCCATGATATGGTACATGCTATCCAGTCCACCATCCTTCCTATGATCGAAGATGTTTGCCAGAAGATCAAGAACAAGCCCGGCAATGCACTACAAGCAAAGACATTTGAGGTAAATGGCCGAAAACTAAGCATAGCACTGAAGAAAGACGAGTGGGCTCGCTTGGCGACGTTTTGCCAGGTTCGCGAAGGATTGTCAGCAGAAGCTGCTCAACGGATTCGCCGCCGCATTACGCTGGCTCCCGAGAGAGTCGACTATCGTGATCGAGCTATGCTGAAACTGCCTGCTGGTGTTCGCCAGGGAGAAATGTACTTTCGCCATACTGGCATCTTGCTGCCTTATGGTTGTTCCACTGCGGACTTTGACACACCCAACCCGTAAGGATCCTTTGATTCCATGAACTGATCAAGAACTGACGTTAATCTAGCACGCTGTTCTTTCAAAATGACTGGCTAATGAACGATGACGCTACTCCCCGCGGTGGCTGGCGTTTTGACGAGTATATGGAGGACGCTCCAGCTGCGAAAGTGGACGAGTTCGGTGCCATTTTCTTTTACCTCAAAGGACTCCTTATCAGGTTCTGCGATAGGCTACGGAGCTCCAACGTTTCATTCCGCCTGTTCAACATGGATGCTCGAGATATAGGACCCTATATCGACATGAGGTTTGATCGTATAGAGGTGAGATACGCACTTCCCAGTCCTCACAATGCCTGACCCTTGACATTCGCACAGATCTCCAACATATGCGATCGAGGTTACGTCGGCCCGCACACCTGTCTACAACTCTTCTCACAACTCCTCAAGCCAACATCACAAAACCCAAACGCCACACTACTTCTTCTCTTCATAAATGCCGCCGTGGAAGTAGATCGCGACGCACACCCGCAAGGAGATCTCGAGTCACTCGTACCGGCTATGGAACGCCTCAGAGAGTACATACCCTTCGACAAATCCCGCGCAAACATGAACGGAGCTGGAATGAATCTAGCTGCACATCCCGACCTAATCTTGCGTATCGCCTGTTCCGATATGTTCAAACCGTGGCACAAGCACTTTGATACTTTCATGGATGAGTGCAGGATTACGCAGTTCGCTGCGCTGTGTGGGATGGCTGTCAAGAAGAAACACACCATTGTTCAGCCTTGGCCGTACAGGGTTGAGGATCAAACTACACAAAGAGATTTCGATGTTCTGCGCGCGAGTAGTATAACTGGATTTGAGCGATATGTAGAGTTGCAGAAGCTTGGAAGTACTGCTGATGATGCGCGTATTGCGTTTGCCCACCTGCAATTGTAGGATGTGGGGTAATCGTGCAACTATGGGTTCTTCCTTGACTAATGGGATCACTGAAGCATGGATTGTAATGATGGGCAATATATTTCCTTATGTAAGATTAGTAGTGTCGATATAGTCAAAGTTCATGGATGGTAAGGGTGTGTGCAGGAGTACCGCTCATGACAATTGCTGACACTTACCGTTGCTCATGTACTAAGGGATCCAGGTACTAATCCGCAAACAGACACGACTCTATATCCTACAGAACAAGTCCCGCTGCCATTGACTATCCCAAACCTATCCGACACCCCCATAAATCCATCTCAAAAATTCACAACACTCGCCTCCAACACCCCCTCTTCCCCAATTAACCTCTTAAGCACCTCCTCCCCAACCGGCTTATCCACCCCCAAAATCATCAGCGCCTCCTTACTCCCCTCCTTCTTATCCCCACCCCCCTCAACCCCATTCAATCGCTGCTCCTCGACCTCCTCATCCAACGGCGCCACATTCATAAACTTGATATTCACGCCCGCCTTCCCCAGCTGATTCCCTACATACCCAATCTTGCCTACGGAATCGAAATTTCGGCAGATGATGAGGGTGCCGCGCGGCACAAACTCGCCTTTGAACCTGTCCAAGCGCGAGATAAAGGGTCTGTTGCCGGATACGAAGCCTTGGATGATCTGGTCGTCGTCTGTGCTGTTGTTGTCTCGGGTTGAGCGTGCCGCGGCAGATGCCGAAACGCTGGAGCGAGATTGCTGGGATACGGAGCGGGAGGCGCGGGCGCGGAGGGTGATGAATGAGGCGTAGGGCTTGTCTTCGACGTTTTCGCGTGAGCGCTGCTCGTTAATGAGGATACCACGTTCCTTGGCGAGGATCTCGGCGTTGACGATGTTGATGTTAAGGCCATCGCTTGAGGTGATGGGCGTCAGCAGGCCTTTGACTAATGCGGCGAAAAGAGGCTTGGTGGTGTTGATGGTGGCTAGCTTTCCTTCGTATATCAGGTCGAAGGTTGTGCGGAAAGAATCTTTCTTGACGCTGGAGTAGTGTTGGGTATACAAACTACCCATCTTCTCAACGAGACTGATAAAGGGTTGTAGCGTGCGATATTCCTCTGGAAGGACTATCGGTGCATTGACTGCCGTGCGAGGAAGCTCTCCAGACAGGATCGACACCACTTGTTCGCATACGTCAATGGAGACATTCTCTTGAGCTTCAGTGGTTGAGGCACCAAGATGAGGCGTTGCAACCACCTTTGGATGCGCGATTAATCGAGTCGCAGACGAGTCTGGCTCAGGAGGCTCCGAAGTGAAGACGTCGATTCCAGCTCCTGCAATCTTACCAGCGTCCAGAGCTTCCACCAGAGCATCTTCATCAATCATCCCGCCCCGCGCAACATTCAGAATTCGCGCAGTGGGCTTCATGGTTTCTAGTTCGGCTTTTCCAATCATGCCTTTGGTTGAAGCTATGAGAGGCGTGTGCAGCGTCAAGAAATCTGCCTCTTTCAAGATCTCAGCAAGACTAGGCCTGAGCGTCACTGATGCTGCTGCTGCCAAATTCGGATTGGCATAGGGATCGTATGCGATGAGTCTCATGCCCAGGCCATTAGCGATCCGAGCGACTGTGAGACCAACTATAACAATGTAAGCGGTACTCAACTTCTCAATTCTTCTGAGTTACCTTTGCCCAATCCCACAATAGCAAGAGTCTTTCCTTTAGCCTCAACCCCTACGAGCCGGCCACGCTCCCATTTGCCCGCCTTGATGCTTTGTGAAGCATCGCCCACATTCCGGGCAACAGCCATCAACACTTTAGTATGTCAGCAGACACTCCATTTGCGTGACTGTGACGCACTCACACGCAATAGTGTGCTCCGCTGCAGCATTGATGTTCCCGGAGGGTGAGTTCACGACAATAATGCCGTGCTGAGTAGCGCTTTGAACATCAACATTGTCAACACCAACACCTGCACGGGCTACCACTTTCATATTCTTAGCTGCCTTCAGAAGATCTGCCGTCACTTTGGTCTCGGATCGAACGATTAGTGCATCATATTCGCCAATGATGCTTTTGAGCTCTTCAGGACTGAGTCCCTTCTTTTCGTCCACATCAAACTCATCTTTCAGTAGCGCTAGGCCGTCCGGTGACACCTTCTCTGGTATAAGAATCTTGCGTTTTTTTGTATGCATAACAGCGACCATGCTGAATGAAGACTCTGTTGGCTGCCTCGTCTAGGCGTAGATCTATGGGAACAAAGGCTATCAAACTCTTTCAATAATCTGACCTCAGATCCTTCAATGAGGGTTATGCTCAGTAATTAGTATCTTTGATTGATGTACTTCAGGGTTTTCGAGGCGAGGAATAGTTCGTAGACGGGGGGTGAATAGAGATGTATATATATCCAACTAGTTGGTCCATGCCCAGTGCTGTATGCAAGATCATTGTAACAAGCCGATGCCGGCTCGTGCAGTACATCTGTTACGACACGTCAGATTTCTGGTTCGGCGGGCTGTGTTGCCTCTGGTTACCCCGCACTTTTACCCCACGGGGTACGCTATATTGCGAACTGAATGGACGAACCCGCATTCAGGATACATAACTACTCAAATTAGCTCTCAGCTAAGATGCAAACAGCCTGATAACGTATTTTGTGTGTAATGGTAGTTAGTGCATATTTGATCTTCAGACAGAACTTGCAGAGCAGCTAACAAAGGCTTTGGTAGTGGGATCATGGGATGCATCGTTCGTGCAGCATAACCGGCTAGCCTGAAAGTAGGGTTGCCTTCATTGGAGGGTGTATTGGTGTTGCGTGGGGTATGTACATGATGCGTGGGTGGTTGGCGCCGCGCTTTTACCAATGACTACGTGTCTTGAGCTTCTCATTCTGCACAACCTCGATCCAGTAACCGTCGGGATCTGCAAAGATTGTCAGTTGCCATACTTGTGTACCAAAAAGAAAACAGCATACCTAGCACAAACGCAATGTCCTTCATGCGACCATCGGTGAGCCTCTTCTTCCAGTTGACCTTCTTCTCCTCAAAACGAGCACATGCGGCCTCTAGATCGTCGACAGCAATGCAAATGTGACCAAATCCCTGAGGCTCGTTGTTTCCGTTGTGGTACTTGAAGTTGGCGTCTTTTTCAGTGCCATAGTTGTATGTTAATTCGAGCAAACCTTCGCTGTCCACAATTGGATTAACACCAGTGGCCGTAGTCTCTGGTGAGTCCTGACCATAGCCGAGGAAAAAGAGGTCGAACTCAGCACTTGGATTTTCTAACGTGCGCTTGAGCTTCATACCCATGACGTCCTGGTAGAATTTGAGAGAGGCATCTTTATCCTTGACGCGAATCATGGTATGGTTCTGCTTCTGTCAGCTGTGTCCAGATGAGTCCGTTTCATATCACCTACCATACGATATGTGCCAACATCTGTGTCTTTGACACTCTCAGTCTCCTCGAGAGGCTTTTGACCAACCACCTCGACCCAATAGCCATCAGGGTCAAGCACGAAAGCAATGTTGCGCATACGCCCGTCCGTTAGCTTCTTCTGGAATTTGTAGCCAGCGTCCTCTAGCCTCTGGCATGCAGCTTGGATGTTATCGACCGAAATGCAAAGATGGCCAAAGCCTTTGTGGGGATCCGTGTTGCCGTTTGTGATCTTGTAGTTTGGGTCATTTTCGGTTCCGTAGTTGTGAGTCAATTCGACAATGCCTTCGCGGTCTGTCCAGTGGTTTCCGTGGGAAGCAGCTTTAGGGCTGTCGTATGCAAGAAAGTGGAGATCGAATCCGGCGTCGGGTTGCTTGATCTCATTGATCTTTTTCATGCCCAGAAACTCATAGAACTCGATGGAGCGCTTTGGATCCTTGACACGGATCCTGAATAAGAATCAGTAATTGACCAATTGCAGGTGTCGAGTAGGGCAAATGGCCATGCGGGTACTCACATGGAGTGGTTGAACTTGTACTTGGTTGGATTGGTCGTCATGGTCGCTAGCGTACGCACGAGAATGCTCGGGGAATGGTTTGGTCTTGCAAGTCTGAGGACAGTAGAAACAGCTAGGCGCGATGTCCTGATACACGTTGGACGTAGAAAAAGCATGAATTGAGCAACCTAGCGAGCACGAGGTTGGCGAAGCAATTGAGGGGCACGGAAATGAGGAGCTAATGACGTCTACCACCCAATGAGAAGCTGCTAGTTTGCCCCTCACCACCATCATCGTCCGGCTTTTACTCGGACTTAAGCCTGTGGAGCAAATGATGGCATCTTGCTTGAATAGAACACCCGTTCACCACTGGCCTAGACGCCTTGTTCAGGTAGACGCATCTGCATCGGGGCATCGGGATATCTGCGAATGAATCTCTTTTGGGATATCGTGTGAATACTAGTCCGGAATCTTCCCGCAGTGCAAGAATGTGATATAATCGTACAAATGTCGCCTGAAAGTAGATGGGATGATCAGACTGCTACAAGAGCTCATCAGCTAAGTAATGCACATGTCATCGAGGCTGCACTCGGTGCATGACGCCCTTCACCTGCTGGTCATGACTATACAGTATTAGTAGAGTAGAGGGCGTCCCCAAAGGGGCGCGAGAGCACGTGCGGCGGCGGAACAACAGCGTTCCGGGTGCTGGTCATAGCTTTGGGCCTCGTAAACTTGGCCATGGACTCCATGATGTCGACGAAGCCGGTCGCGTACTGATCCTCCCTCCTTCACGGTATCAAGTCGGTCTACGCATCTTCCTGGTCGCTGTTGGACGTTTCTCGCGCTGCAGGTAGTAAACATCCGTCTGTGGCATAGGGAGTAACAGGCGCACGAGGACAGTCCGGGAAGGGGGTTGCGCCAACAATCGACCAGGTACGTGGTCTTCTTACTGCGTCACAAGCATTCAGCCCATCGCCCATGATCCCAACCACGTCGCGCTCGATATATTGCTATCTGCTCTTCATAAATTCCCACTCATCCGTTTTCACTTGTTGTTAACAACACCCACTGTTAGCCTCCTGACCATGTCCGCAATAGGTTTTCCAATGATCAACATCGCCAAAGTGAGCGACTGGCTCACTCAGAACGCCAATGAAAGCATATATCCTCGACTCTTGTAAGTTGTGCTTGCTCAGTCCCACCAACTAGACTGACATGACGAGTTTAATGTCTCCAAATGGCACGTTATTAGCGTATTCGAAGCCCGTGCAAACTAAGGAGCTTCGTGACCAAGCTGCCCTCATTTCCATGGCATGGAAGGATCACTGCGCCGGCCGCCAAAAGCTTTCTACGCGAAATGGGGCTCCAGACCATTCGCTCAAGCCCCCACTGCAGACACTCACCATCGAAACCCAGGACTGCAACATCATAGTGCGTCTATTGCAACCAGAGTTGCTGTTGGTCCTCATTGGCAGAATCCCCCCAAGCAAAAAGCAATCGTTCAAAATCTCGCCCGAAGGCCAGGGAGACCCTAGGTATCCGGATGTCGATGTGTCTCTTTCTCGTCCCGGATCAAGCGCACAGTTGCATGCTCAGGCTGACGGATCGGCCGACAGCCTAAGGCCAAGCAACGGAGGGCCGACCATGAAGAACAAGGCGCCTTCTTTGTTCAGTAACATGAGTCAGCGCGAGAAAGACATCCGGGGAGGTGCACTCCATGTGCAACGAAAGAAACTAGATGCCTTGGCCGAATACGTCCTCCGAGATTTTGAAGATACCTCCTTCGTTATGCCAGCAGATGCAGACTTGCAGTAGTACGCGGGCTCCCACCCTTTATCAGAGGTCACATGCAGACCCATGCCCTACCATCTTTGACAGCTGGCAGTGTGATCTTCCAATGTTTTAATAAGTTCGGCCATGCTAAAGGCATGCATTTCAAATGTTCCAACAGTCCATCAATAACGGCTAGTCCATTTCGCGCAATCACAAAGTGCGGTTTCTCGGGCACGCAAATATCGTTGTGCTCCAGGTGAGCAAAGATCACCTATTCAACCTAATACTACCGCCCAAGTCAAGGGAGGATTCTTGCACCCATCGGCATGGTACCCTGGACTCTGAAAATGGACCAAGAGGACATGCGGACCCTTATTCCAAGCAATCTTCCCACCTTAGTCACCCAATGTCGGACGCTCCAGATTCATTCCTAAGCCAAAGCGGAAAATAGAAGTTGGCCTTCGCGATTCACATCGCTCATTGACACACTCACATCCACGGATGTTTGTTGGCCACCAGTTGCGCCAGCTTGTTCAGATGCAGTCACATCCAGGGTCCGTTTCTTCGTGTATACGCAAAGCGCTAGTTGTAGTCTAAGAAGCCTTCAGCTAAGTTTATGATTTTCCCCAAGACCGTGTCCAGCTGCATTGCTCCGTACCACCGAAGGCAGAACCCGTGCATACATCCGTCTTACAACGCAGAATATCTCGACTGCTATTCTCTGTCCGTATTATGATCGACCATGAGGGCTTTCTTGATCACAAAGAGGATTTTCAGTCTTTTTGAGGGGTTCCAAACAGCGCCATGCAAGCAGGGGTCGTCGCAGTGAAGTAAATTCTTTGTACCTGGACTGGTTCACAAATCTGTTTGTTTCGAGATTGTGAGGCTTGTTACATGAGAGTTTGAAGAGACTGTAATATAGGGGATCGGTTGGACAACACAGGATGATATGTGATCAGTGTCCAAATTGCATCCGATTCATCAGTCGCTTGAAATTCTCTCCGTGTCTTTGTTGTACTTGTTCGCGTGTTATTCGAAACATTGCTGTTCTTAACTAAGGAACATGAGGAGCGGACTCCAATCCCGTTTGAATATCTTGAGAGAGGAAACAAATGCATCTCCGCCCCACTGTTCTCACCTGTGATTGCCTGAATCAGTATGCTTCCTAGGTTTCCTTGCTTTATCTCATAGAAATCGACGTCTGCATGGACAATTGTAATACAATACTGCCCTTGCCGTACGGTCACGTGAGGTTATCTAATGCTGAACCGCGCTGCTAACCTGCTACTAGCCTCATGTTACTTCGTACGCTAGATACCACTCATAGAAGACACCAAGAACCCACTATTTCATTTAGATGCACAGGGATCCACGTATGAAAAAGCACTGACAACAAGGCTATTCATGTAACAGGGTCCATTCGTAGGCGCTCATCAGATCTCCGAGTACCGGGATTTCCCCGCCATGGCCCCGCGTGGCCTCTGAAGCACGCAATTCGCGCTAGGG